CTGTCAAGTAGCTGTCTGTTAGTCACTCTCTCTACAGCAGGAAACAGCACTTCAAAATAAAAGCTCTGCCCTGGAAATTCACTGTACTTGAAAATAAAGTGTGTTTTTTTTACCAGTCCCTTGTGGTTCATTCAAAATGGGCCTGTGTCCCATTTTTGGACTGCGACCCACCAGTTGGGAACCACTGCACTACAGTGTCAACCCCATTCAGTGTCCTTGACATAAAAAGACATGTGTCCAGAGCCAAAAAGGACATTTACCATCCAATCAAAAGAGTTTCATTTGGTTACTATAGCAACATTTTGAAGCCCTCTCTAGAAACTCCATGGCAACGTGACAAACACAAGTCTCCATTCATAGAGAAGCATGTTGTCTAAATGCAGTGTGCATTGCCACAGTAAATAACTGCTTTGAACACTCTTTAATCATCTCAGTGCTCATGAATAGGGATATGTATGGTAAGGATTTTATTGATACCGATATCAATGCCGATACTGCTTAGTGATACGTATATACTACTCTGCATAAACAGTTCTTTCATTATCATGTTTTGGGTTAGTCTATATTTATATATTATCAAATATTTATCATTTACGTATATTTATTTATCAGTTACTCTTTTAAAGATCCACACGAACAACTCTTTACTTCAGCACAAATTAGATCCACCAGGAGGCACTTATTAAAAAAGTAAATACTTCACTTTAATGCTGGTTCACCTGTTATTCTTGTTATTTGCTTCTTCTCCAAAAACGGAAGGGACAAACACCGGGGGAAAATGCAAGGAGCTAAGATTCCATTAAAACAAAAATTATGACTGGTGTGTTTACCGCGTGCAAATTAATCAGAGCACACAAGGCCAAATTGGCGCATTAGTTGACCACTGTTGACAAGCAACAAAGCATTAAAAAGCTTATTTTTTAAACAGAGTCCGGCACAGTATTTTTTTTTTTCCCTAATTATTTTTGTGGCTTTCATACCTTATGACAGGACAGTAAAAGTGTGAAAGTGGAGAGAGGATGTCATGCAGCAAAGGGCCAAAGGCTGGAATCAAACGTACAGCCGCTGCAGCAAGGATATTACCTTTGTACATGGGACACCAGCTCAACCCACTGACCTACCGAGCGCCCCAAGTGTGGTGCTTACTACACATAAAATGCACCAGGAGCAAACGTCCTAAAGAACAATTAAAACAGCATCACCAATAAGTTTTGAACAAATATTTTCTCGGGCTGTAGTCAACCAAAGAAAATCTTGGTCGACTAAAGCCGCACATAATCTTCAACTAGTCGATTAGTTGTGGGGGAAAAAAATAATCTGCATGTTATTTTTACTTCTGCAGCAGTGTGTCTGTGTCACTCTGCAGTTACACCTCCAAAACACTAGGAGGACTGTGTTAAGTGCTGTAAAGTTTAGTTCAAATCAAACTTTATTTATATAGTTGATTCAAAACACACATTAAACACACATTAAACATGGCTTAATAGAGACAACTTCAAACACAAGTACACAAACTGGCTTCACTATAACTCGCAGCATTCACAGACAAACACTTGTCTTTATCTGGACACATTTCCCCCACTAATACAACATGCTAATGTTATTAGCACAAGTCTATGGCATTTTACATTGTATAAACTAGCTTTGCTTCTAGCGATCTTTTCCTCTTCTCATATAAAACCAGGGACAACAGCAACATGTAACAAAGGTAACATTACAAAATTTGGCTCCATTACAACTCACAAGGTTCACCGACAAAACAACTGTCTTATACTAAACACGTTTTCCAAGCAAATACAACATGCTAACGTTATTAGCACAAGTCTATGGCATTTTACATTGTATAAATTAGCCTAGCGACGAGCGGAGATTTCCTCTGCTCATATGAAGCCAGGATAAATCACACACAAGACTTAAAATGCTATTTTAGTGGAGGCTTTACTGTCTTCATAATTTATTGTTTCTTATCTGTGAAGTACAAGTAAATACAAGCTTTGTTTCCACTGAGGGAAATGGTTGTAGCTTACAGAAACAGACAGGAGGTCTGCGTCACCGCGACGCAGAGCGTGAGGGTGGGCGAGTCCAACTTTCTGTCAACAACTGGGGTGTTTTGAAAACTTTTCTCCTTATGAAAGTAACACGGCGATTATTCGACTAATGAGAATTTGGTCGGACGAGAGCATAGCGACCAAATAATCGACTAGTCGACCAGAAGACTACAGCCCTAATATTTTCTCGTCTATCTCTGCTAAAAAACACAAATATAGAATCCATCAGCACATTAGCATGTCGTCATCAAGCCTGTTTATAAAAACTACAACTCCCAGGAGGTGGGGCTTCTACCACCAGGGTAGTGAACAGGCTTACTGCCAGTTATTAGACTGAGGTTGGTTACTTTTACCTAGTGATGGCCAAATGAAGGCTCATGAAGCATTTTCTTTATTTTCTGAGCCCACTAGATGGCGTTTTTTGTTCAACAAAAGGTTGAAAGCTTCACTGAATTGCCATTCTTTGAGCCTCTCTCTTTAAACCATGAGCGCCATCTAGTGGGCTCAGAAAATAAAGAAAATGCTTCATGAGGCTTCATTTGGCCATCACCACTTTTACCTGCCTGTCCATTGTTGCCTGCACATTGCATAGATGTAATTAAATCTTTTTCTACCAGTTTGGACTTAGGGATGTTTCCAGCACTTTGACGAGACCAAGCCAGGTGGAGCGGTGGTTGTTTTGCATCATCCAAGAAAATTACATGAACTGGGAGGTTTGGTGAACTGGTAAAAAATGAGCCACTATAATTAGTGATGGCCAAATGAAGCCTCATGAAGCGTTGTCTTTATTTTATGAGCCCACTAGATGGTGCTTTTTGTTCAACAAAAGGTCGAAAGCACAATGAATTGCCATTCTTTGAACCTCTCTCTTTAAACCATGAGTGCCATCTAGTGGGCTTAGAAAACACAGAAAATGCTTCATGAAGCTTCATTTGGCCATCACTAACTATAATCCATCAAACGGTCATGGAAAATGACTTTTAATCTGTATATCTGTATGCTCCTCACCTCAAACACAAAATCTGAACACTCTCAAACTACACTGGACTTACTTGATACTTTAATACTCGTGCTACTGTTTTGTGGCCTTGATACAAAACTTCTGTGGCACCACTGAAAAAAGCAGTTTCGTTTTGTGGCTCTAATTAGATAAGTCGTTTCTTTGAGAGTGGTCATTACACGAATCATTTCCTTCCTAAAACTACAAACCACAGGGCTAAAAAATTAGTGTATGACAAGATTTCTCTTTTGGCTAAAATGTGAGGGCACATTCAGGCGCCTGCAGAGCATATGCCAACAGCAGCTTTACGGCTACCAGCCCACACTGGCACGAGGCCGCTGCAGGCATGAAATGTTGCCGCTTCCAAAGCCTTTAACTATGTGTTAGCATGGCGGAATCTCGTTAACATAGCCAGCGGGACAGAAATGACAACACCTCTGCGATTCTATATACAGGGTTGTAGCTTTTTACGAGGTACTTTGGATCGCTGGTGTGTGCATGTGTGAGAGTGTGTGCGGTGCGTGCACATCTCCAGTATAAACAGTGGAAAGTGAAATGTGCAGAGGGGAGGGTTGAATTGGCAAAGCGCTCCTCAGAAGTATCACTAGAGAGGAGACAGCTGGCGCCATCTCTGTGTTTCTCCCTCTCTCTTTTCCTTGCTTTCTCTCACCACCAGCAACACTTTGAGATTACTTGATAAATGCACTTTCTGTCTCCCTCTTCCATTCTCTCACTTCGTTTCTCCCACCTCGCGCTCACTGGTTTTTCCTCACTTCTCAGCTCGGTGCTGTTTTACTGCCTTTAAGTCACGTGGCCTTCTTTTTCCCCCTTGGTTTGTCTCAAGCCCTCTCCTCCTCCATCAGTCTCTCTCTCTTTTTTAATGTCTTTCTCTCCCCCCTGCCCTCCTCCTGCTGCTCTGGTGTCTGTCTACAGGTGGAAAATGTCCAGCAGATGCTTTGGCCACAGCCCAGGGAGCTGCTGATTTTATTACCATGGCAGCTCTTTATCACCATGGAAGCCGTCTATCGTTGCGATGGCCAGCGTCCTGTTACCTGATCCTGGTCCAGCTGGCATGTGTGCAGATATATACACTCTTGACATTTCAGAGAATTCTCTAAGGGCTTCCCTCAGTTTAGTCCCGTCTGAAGTACATGTCACCATAAAGGTTAATTTGGGCTACAGTAGGTGTATTAAAATCGCCGTTTCATGAAAATGGTACAAAACCGCTGTGAAGTTTTTAACGTTGGCGTGACTTTTACATGAATGTGCAGACGTCAATCGATTCACGCTGATTTTTGAAGGCACTCAGCTTTGCTAACCACAGTCACACATCCTGTAAATACAACCTGGAAACAGACCAAATGTACCATACTGCATTTTCTGCACGTCCGTGCTCATCGCAACAAGAAATCTGGCACAAAAAAGTTGCAAGACACTCTGAGTACAACGTGGACTCATCAGTGAGCAGAAGTCAGGTCACTCACACATCACAGCTCAGTCATAAACATGAGCTGCTGAGTCCCAAATGTTCAGTACACACCTCGAGCAAACAGATACTGAAGCCAGCTGACAGACAAGTACATTTTATGGTGACGAAGCAATTCAGGCGCCTCAGGAGTTCACATAGAATCATACACATACACTTTAATTCCATCCCAATTAATGCAAACTCACACAGACACAATAATGGCATATACTCTCCCAACATCTTTCCTAACCTGGCCACTTCCTGCTCCAAACACAAAGTACACACACTGATTTTTGGTGCAGTCCATTTCCACATTTCTGTGACGATATCATGTCCAGACGCTGTTCCATCTTTACACACCAGAGGATCATCTCTATCCTCATCTGATGTACAAGTCAACAGCCGATAAATCCACACACCCTCTGCTACACACACACAAACTCCAAATTCTCACACACACACACTGGGTTTTATATTTTCCTACCATCTTTGCGGTACAGGTTGATCTCCACTTTCCTCTCCTCCGATCCCAGCAGGGCTTGCGCCATCTGTGCGATGGCCAGTCGCTTGGTGTCAGGTCCGTACAGGAAGTTACACGTGCACGGCTTCTGCATGATCTCAGCACGTGAGTAACCGCACATGTGACAGAAGCCGTCGTTGCAAAAGATGATGGCGCAGTTCTCCACTCTTGCGTTGGCGATGACAAACTTGCGACCTGTGGACAGAAGAGAAAAGTTTACTTTAGTTTTCGCTGTGAAATCTGAATGCAGAGAATTGATTCTTCTCAGGAGAATCTTTTCTGTAAAGTTTACTCTCAGCCCAAAGGGGATATAATTGCACAAAACTTTTCAAATGCTAAACATTATAAGGAGGAAGACATTTTCCTCCCTCTTGCTGATTTGTATAGAGCTAATGCCATGTTGCCAAGGGACCATTTTACCAGCATCTGTGACCTACAATATTTTCCTGAAAATAAAACACACTTATGTGGAGTTATGTGGAGGTTGTGTACCCTTGCTGCATCCAAATGCTGATAATGGAGCTATGGAGTGGCAGTAGCTCAGTCCATAGGGACTTGACTTGGGAACGGGAGGGTCACCGACTCAAGTCCCCATCCAAACCAAATATGGAGCATGGACCGGTAGCTAGAGAGGTGATATTTCGCCTTGAGCAAAGCACCATACCCCTAAAAGTTCAGGGCGCCTGTCTATGGGCAGCGCCCTCGCTCTGACATCTATTTCATGCATGTATAGGTGCCGTTTGTGCGTGTGTATTTCGGGCCTGTGTGTATATGACAACAGAGTGAAAACACTGAATTCCCCCTCTGGGATTAATAATAAAGTATATTATCTTCTTCTATGTGAGGAGAGTAACAAATAGGCTGCAATCTAAAACATGTCTTTCACTTTCCTTTTGCATTGTACTTGCCATTCTGATCCATCTACCAACATGTACATACATGCAATGCATTCTATTTATGTACCCCATAAACTGTGAATATGCAAAACAGCAAAATAAATTTCCATATGACTGCTGATTAATTGGCTTTCAAACTGAATGAAATACACTGTAGTGCAGCTCAGATCATAAATGACAACTGCTCAGCTTGAGGAGACAGACTGTTAAAGAGCTAGACACAGACATTTTCAATTATATTTTAAACTACAAACAATATAAACACCAACAAATGTAGTCAGTGTAAATCACATGCAGCTTTAACGTACAACAGTATTTTAGGCTATGAGAATAAATATGAGAATATGTTACAAGAACCATTCTGCGATTTAAGGAAACCAGTAGCTCAGTCCAGAAGGACCTGGGTTGGGAACCGGAGGTTAACCAGCTAAAGTGCCCACCTAGAACAAACATGGAGTGTGGACTGGGTGGGTCGAGGTGCCCCTGAGCGAGGTACCAAACCCCCAACTGTTCGTAGCGCCTGTCCATGGCAGCCCTCTCGCCCTGACATCCCTCCATCTAATGCATGTATATAGGTCCTGTTTGTGCATGTGTGTGTATTTCAGGCTTTTGCATATATGACAGAGTGAACAAATTGAATTTCCCCTCAAGAACTAATAAAGCATATCTTCTTATTTCTTCCAAATCAATAGTATTAGTGGCGTCAGCATCCCAATTTGCCACACCAGCTCAAGGTTCCTCTAATGACACTATTAGTGTCACCTGTGTTGACAAGTCAAAAGGCCCGTTTCCACCGCAGGAACTTCAGGGTAATTTTACGGGGCCGTTGGTGCGTGTCTCCACCACAGGAACCACCCCCGAAGGACAGAGTTCTGGAACTTTTACAGGGGCTAAACAAGTCCCTGCCTCGGAGTAGGTACTCAGAACGGCCCGGAAAACTCCTGGGTGGGGCTTGGGGTTTACTCGGTGCTGATTGGATATACTGAAGGCTGGATGTGACGTCAACAGAAAGCGACAAAATAGCCGGCATTTTTAAAACTCAGCAGACGAGGAGTCGCATTTTTAAAAGGAGTCATAAGAAGAAAAGCAAGAAATCTGCTTCTTCTTCTTTGTTGTTTTTCTTCTTTGTTTGTTTCTTTGCCGCGTCGCCCCGGTCAAAATGGTCAGGCAACGATTACGTCACATCCAGAGCCCGGTAACTTTACAGGAACCTTCCTCCTACTCCATCGTACAGTGGAGACACGGCGGTTGAGAGGGCCGAGCGAGAGGACGTTCCTGTAAAGTTCCTGCCCTCCATATAGTACCAGGAACTTCTTTAGTGGAAACGGGCCTAAAATGTCTCGATTTTTACTTAAAAGACAAAGCAAACGTGCAGATATAGCCTACAGACATTTCATACGGAAAAAGTTTTAAGATAGAACAAGTATAATTCAAATAAAGTCCAAATATGTTGTTATATTCCTCTTTTTCCTTTTTAATCTCATATGAACCACTCCAGTTCAAGCACACAAACCTTTTGTCCTTTACAGCAAACAGCTTCACTATGTCAAGCACAATATTTCAGCTTACTGGCCTGTTCCCAATTTCAAAATAAAACTGGAGTAACCAAAAATCTTTAGAAGAATATAAGGAGTTCATCTTAATGCTAACTTAAACGTGTGTGTGCGTCCAGGTTTGCAGACCTATGCGTGTCCATAATTGTGGTCAAAAGCGTAAATGGCAGCTGTAACACTGACGGCTCTGATGTGCGTCTCCCTCTAAACCACTTACTGCAGAAGGAGCCATTTGCTCAGTGGCCTCCGCTCAGTGTCTATGGATGATCTTAATGCACTCAGAGAGCTGCTGTTGTGCCTGAACACACTCACACAGACACACACACGCTTGCACTCGCTTACCCAGCACACTGATCCATACATTGTGGATAAACTACAAGTCTCCAGTTTGTGGCAGTTGAATCCCCAGTGTGTCTTGTGGGAACACATAAAAACAACATAAACATGTGCATGAGCGTGAGGCCTCTGTGGATGTTAGACTGTGTTTGTGCTGCATCAGTGTGATCGTCTGTCAGGCTGATAAATGGCTTCCACTAAAGAGCTTTAAGCTTCTGAAGAGCCCCAATCTTCCCTGTTACTTTCACTTAGTACTGGGCCCCACTGTGAGGAACACTGCACTCATAAATAGTCATATGAATGGTTAGAGGGGAGGAGGAGAGGCTGGTGAGAGAAAATGGTGGGTGAAGCAAGAGGCAGCGGGAGGGCTGGATGAGGATGACTTAACAGATGGAAATGGGATGGTTGGGTAGAGAGACTTTGGGAAGGGAGAATGACAGAAAAACAGAAGATAAATTGAGGAAGGCATGGATGGAGAAGGGAAGAGAGGTGAAACAGAAGCAAAATAATGAATGGAGGGATATTTGGTAGAAAAAGAGTGGAGTGGGGACAGAGCAGAAGTGATGTGTGCAGGAAGGCAGAGGGAAAACATGACCATATTTCTTAGCAATTAGCCTGCATCAAGTAAAGGGACCAGAGACTGCGGTGAAAAAACACAGCCCCCTTTGTCAAAACATTTCACTTTGTGGGCACTGTAAAGTCCATCAAGTTACACACTAAGAATTCACTCAAATAAAATGGTGGAGGACAAATATAGTGCAATATAACCCCACACTGAGCACAGAAAGAGGATATGATGTCACAGTTTTGATGTGGGCAGTAACAAACTGTTAACAGTGTGGATGCGTCATGGTGCTGGTTGACTGCAAACGCACCCAATATGCATCTTGCCGAGGACCTTCGCTGCATGTCATTACCCATTGTTCTCCCATCATTTCCTGTCAGCCAAAAGTAAATCATCAATATTCTACTAAGCTGATATTAGCAAGGTTAACCAGAGATAACAGCGGCCTTAAACCTGCCGCTGAGGTAACAAGGTGTGAACACAACACTGACATGTGATAACACTTGAAACTGATATGGCGAACTTGTTAGCAATCAGTTGCCTACTTACATAAGTCCATCAGTTACAACACATTCTCACTCTGATCTCGTCACATATCGACGTTTAGTCATGGACTTTCCATGTCCAGATATGACATGGAAGGTACCCTGGGTGTAGGGCCCGACCGATATGGATTTTTTGGGGCCGATTCCAATATTATGGAATAAAAAAATCCGATAACCGATATATCGGCTGATTCAATTTTTCAAAGGTTTTTCAATTTAAAAAACCCTGAAATACCTGCTTTTGATGGCTGAAATATAGTTCAAACACTCGTTACAAAGATATAAATTGAAAGAAGAACATTTTACTATTTTCAAATACTTTTATTATCAGAAATTGTGTGGAACAAGCAGCATATGAACAATTTGAACTCAAAATAAATCAAAAATATGATGTGCAAAAAGGCAGTAAACCTCTGGGAAATAAAATAATCATGCAAAGTCTATATGAATTAAGACATTCACATGTATGTTCACAGTACCAGAGTTCTTCTTATTATTGCCAATTTAACAGAGGTAGGTTATAGTGCAAGAAGCAACTCAAGAACATCATTTCTAAGTAAAACACCATATTCTCTGCATTTTATTAGTGATGAAAATGTAAGTGTTAACATCAGCGCCAATCGACCAACTTTTGGCCGATTATTCTCGATTATTCTCTAATGGCTATAATCGGCCGATTAGTCTCGCTCACCAGACCTTTCTCAAGAAAAGAAAGGTCTGGCTGGGCCGACTCTCACTTTAAGATTGGAGAAAAAAACGCCCCGGCTGCTTGTATTTCTTTCAACCAATCACAGTCGTTCTGGGTGGTGCCACAGCAACGGTGCGCTTGCAAAAATATTGCCGGGGGGAAACAGGTTTTGGTGTAACACGCCCCCAAAAATATCGCCTACAGGACGCGAACCATGGCAGAAAAATGGCTACATCCCTGCAAGATCAAACACCGCAAAAGTTAGTAAAGGACGTGTTGAAAACGGTTGAAAACTGCTACACAACCGGAGGTGGTAGGGCGGGACTTCAGCGGGTGGCTCGTTCCGCCCAATGGGAGGCTGATGTATGCAGCGAACTTCCGCCCAATCAGACTATCGCCAGATTAAATCAGTCAGGCCCTACCTGGGTGTGTTGGTTGTTGACAGTCTGGGACGCCGTGTCAAGTTCTGCCTGTTTCATGCATTGTCTGTTTTCAAAATAAATGCACTACATTGGTACACCACTGCAAATTGGCTTTTATTTTCCTCCAACAACTACGCACGTGGTTGGGTTTAAGGCAAAAAAAGCATGTGGTTAGGTTTAGAAAAAAAAG